TGTGCTTAGGTTTACATGATGTCAGAACACGTGGTTCCCTTCCAGGCTCTAAGCAGCGTGTGCAGGTGGCCCTGGTCTCCTCTCCTGGGAGGGAAATCCTCGCAGCCCTCTCTGGGCGGCCCTGACCTCCTCCTCTCCTGGGAGGGAAATGTTCAGGGCCCTCTCTGGGGCCCCACAGGTCCGGGATGTGCCTGGAGGAGCCAGCGGGGGCCTGGCAGGGTTCATGTGCTCTTGGGGACCCTCAGAGCTTGCTCAATGCCCAGATTCTTCCTGGTTCTGGTTATCTCACAGGTGAGCATTCACGGGGGCGTCTGTTTTCATAATGTAGAAATCAATATTTTAACATTAAATACACATCTCAATGTTGGGGGTGCATCTGTAACTTTGCAAAGGTGAGGTCAGGGGAGTGCCAGCCTCAAGTGGGCACTATCCATGGGGTGGACAGGTGTCTGTCCCCGGGGAGCCCCTGAATCTTTCTGCTTGGGGTGACAGGTGTGGCTGATGGGGGCTGTCCATGGTGCCCAGGGCAGTGTTGATGGAGATGCAGTGAGGTGCTGTGATTGTCTCACTTGCCCCGAAGCTGCAGGATGTTCAGTTCTGACCCCGCGGCTTCTCCCAATGATCAATTGTCTTAAAGACAAATGCCAAATGTGCCGTGTGCGCCGGGCGGCCTCACTGAGTGCTGCCGGCTTCCCCGGCCCCTCCTGCACAGCAGACCCACCCTCCCAAAAGCGGCAGATGACACGCACACTCTTCCTGCAAACTGCCTTGAACGTACAGGCTACCGCATTGTTCACGCAACATTACTTGCAGCTAAGAATGGGAATGGGTGCTTTAAGAAAAAGTATTTTTTTTAAGCAAGTGAAAATCGATGAACTGATTCTCCTCCACCTATAACTGGATTTTTCCACAAATCTCTCTTTATTATTGTTTGATTAAACAAAAATACACATTTTAACTGCTTAACTGCTAAACTGCGCTGACTACGGGAGAGCTAAGGGCCCTATTACTACGCAGTTATAATAGAAGACACACAATTAAAGTCAGATCACGATTCCTGACGACATCCGTGGGGTGGGGGCTCCCCCGAGGCCCCGAGGCCGCCGCTCACTGGGGAAGGGCCTTGAGGATGGCGTTCACCTCTTCAGCCACGGCTGTCAGCGCGAACTCAAACTGCTCCTGCAGGGCGACAGAGGAGAGAAGTGCCAATGAGATGGCGTCCTTCCCCCACTCCTGCCACAGCGTTGGCTCCCTGCAAATGAGAGCTGTGTCCCCCCTTTCCCAGCGCAGCATCAGCTCCGTGGCTGTTTCGCAGAAAGAAATTGTTTAGCAAAAAAGGCAAAAGGCTCAGATTTCCTTAGAAAGGAAAGTGTACCTTTTGGTGTATCCAACCATGGACACACATTGGAACTTCTCTCGCACTAGAAAGCCTCATCTTTCCTCCTGTGGGGAGAAGCTGCCCACAGAAGCAGCGAGAAGGAAACGGCTCCCTGCGTCCTGCCCCGTCCTCTGACACTACGACTCCACGATTCCTCCTCACGGTCGCCCGCCTTGGTGGACGGAGTGAGGGGCAGGTGCAGACACCAGACAGATGTGGCCATTAAAACTCACAATGAGGGCCACGCTTGGGCGTTTCCTGTCCTCAGAAGTGTGGTGTTTCATTGCTTTCGAAATCCACCTGTTACTCACACCAGACCCACTCCATTCCACATGCTGAGAAACCTCCCCTTGTCCACACCCCTCCTGGCTCAGGGCACGTGCACGTCCACAGCTGCTCGGGCACGTGTGTCCACAGCCACTCGGGCATCCACAGACACTCGGGCACGTGTGTCCACAGCCACTCGGGCATCCACAGCCACTCGGGCAGGCACAGACACTCGGGCACGTGTGTCCACAGCCACTCGGGCATCCACAGACACTCGGGCAGGCACAGACACTCGGGCACGTGTGTCCACAGCCACTCGGGCATCCACAGACACTCGGGCACGTGTGTCCACAGCCACTCGGGCATCCACAGACACTCGGGCACGTGTGTCCACAGCCACTCGGGCATCCACAGCCGCTCGGGCAGGCACACCTGAGGGGCACCCCTCCCTCCACGGACAGCCTGCCAAGAGCATCCAGTGGGCGTGAGGGACGGGTCCACAATGCCAGGACTATTCGCTCCTCCAAAGACCAGGGCTTAGCGCCGGAGAGCGTATCTGCCTCCTCTCCCGCACGTGAGGCAGATAAATGCTCCTTTCCGCTTGCTCTTCAGTTTCCACCTCAAAACACTGCTATGGAAAACCCGAAAGCAGGCCAGCAGCACTCCAGCTACAGCCAAGAACGCGTGGACGGCAACCACATGCAGGCTGTTACCCAGCTAACAACCCTGGGGAGGAAAGCCCTGTCGACGGCTTCAGTACTTGGTCATTTAAGGAATAGGGTAGCCCTGAACCAAAAATGATAATTTCCATTTTTGAATGTTTAGTGCATAACAGAAACATGGAAAATAGCTTGAACCAAGACATCAGAAAGTCAAAATAATGTGATGCTCATTTTGAGACAAAAGACAGTTTCTCCTTTCATATTCCTCTGCCCTGATGCCGACGGAATGGTCTGCTGGGGACTCTACCCGCCTTTGGCAGTGTGGCCACGCGGCCTCTTAGGGGATGTGTTAGAATCTATTATTAAAGGAGTCAACTGAGTGTGGCAGCCACGTCAGGGTGGGAGCCGGGGAGATGCGTGTGCCTGCGCCCTGTCTCTCTCCCCTCTGCACTGCCAGAGAGCACCTTTCTGCTCCTCAAAATCATGTGGGAGCCACCCCTGCGGGGGCACGGGCTCAGGTCGGGCTGTGCCGGGAAGGTCTGCAAACGTTCTGTCTAAATGCTGACCCTCCCACAAGGAAGGTGCCGTTTAGGGGATGCAGGCTAAATACGCATCAACAGTCACCCAGGCCATTTCTTCCCCAGTGCTGGGCTGCCAGTGCCCTGAGGCTTTGTGAGGGCTTGGAAATGCCGAAAACTAAGCGTGGCTTTTCGGGAAGCGAAATGTAAGTGTCATCTATCTATTTACATCTTCCGACACACTGGAAATCTAGCCTGAGAAATGATCTTTAAAGGGAAGAATAGAGAAGTACCGCCGTCCCGCCCCCCGCAGTGCAGTGGAGGCTGGAAAGCGCTTCCACCCCCAGGGCCGGGTGCCCATCCCGCAGAGCTGCCCGGCCTCTCACACAGCCACGTGCGGCGTCCAACAGGAAAGCCCAGTATCCATGCTACGGGGGAGGGGACGGGCGGGGGAACCCCACCAGGTGTGGATCGGAACTATTTCCAGGACTGCACAGTCACCGGACAGAGCAGCAGGAAGGGAACCGGGCCGTGGAGACACGCGCTCTACTCACTGGCCATGTTTGACAATTGTTACCGCACTGTTGGGCTCAAAGGAGAAGCAGCCCCGCTGGGCGTCTGGGCTGGTGTGTGCCGAGCACCTTACTCAGAGCCCGCTGGGTCCTGTGGGTGTCGGTTGGCAGGAGGAGGGGGCGCTTCCCGGAGGGTGCTGTGAGCCTCACAGCTGGCGTTTGAGGGGACGGGGCTTGTGGATCATCTTGTCCTTTATTGTGAGGGGTCAGCCGCGTGCAGCGCCGGGATGCAGCGCCCATGCCCTGTGGGTCCTTGAAGGCCTGGGGCCACGTTCTGAGCAGCATCTGCTGAGCAAGTGTCACCTAGACCCGCACCCTAGATCCGGGGTAGGCGGGGAAAACCCCAGCCTTTGGAGAACTTCTATGATAGGAGTTTATTTCAAAGGAGTAAAACACAATAGCAATGGATGACCAGATGACCGTCTTAGCCTAAACTGCCTCTCAGTGCCAGCAGTCTGAGCGGGAGGGGCGCACAGCCTCCTGGGTTTGCAAAGACAGGACATTTGAGAGGCCGAGTCAGGGCATTCTAAGCAAGAAAGCATTTTTGAACATATACTAAAATAAAATTTGAGGCCTGCTGGAGAAAGATGCCACGGCTTCTTCCAGTGGAACTGCACCCCTTGGAGAAGTGGCTGCGGCGGGACGGCCCAGCCAGGCTCAGGCCAGGTCAGGCTGTCTGGTCACTACCCCTGTGTCCACACTGGACGGCGAGTGGGAACGCCCCTTCTCAGGCTGTCCTGGGGCAACCACAGGGTGCCCACATAGCTGGTGGAGGGATGGAGGCTGCAGGAGCCGCCGTGGCTCTCAGACACCTGCTGCTGGAGTCAGGGTCGGCCGGGGGTGGAAGCTGTGGAGCTTTGCGGAGGCCACTTGGATTTCTATTTGTGCTTATGTTTATATTTGTAATTCTTCAGGTGTAAACAAAGGCCTGGGTGGAGATAGGAACCTTAAAGGGGGCCTCAGTGAACGTGTCTCTGAGCCACCTGTGCCCTCCAGGAGGCTGCACACACCCGTGTGGGGCTGCTTCCCCCAGCACCTCTCAAAAGGGGGTGAGGACGACACACCTTCCTATGTCTGTCACCTTCAGCTTCTCTTTTCACAAAAGTAGACCAGCTCCAAGCCACACTGTGAGAGTTGAGCCCTGCCCAAGTTAGGGACTAGGCATTGTGTGTGTGTACACCGGGGCAGAGGACAGAGATGGAGAGATGGAGAGAGATGGAGACAGATGGAGAGAGACAGAGAGAGGTGGAGACAGACAGAGAGAGGTGGAGAGAGATGGAGAGAGGTAGAGACGGAGAGAGGTGGAGAGAGACAGAGAAAGGTAGAGACGGAGAGAAGTGGAGAGAGATGGAGAGAGGTGGAGAGATATGGAGAGAGATGGCGAGAGGTGGAGAGAGGTGGAGAGCCACAGAAATGAACAGTTTCAATGGCACAGGAGGCCTTGGGAGAGGTGGGCTGCGGGCCTGAGGCTGATGGGTGAGTGTGGACTGCACTACGCATGACGGAATCCGTGTCTGTCACTCCAGTGCTGTGCTGGGTTGGGAAGATAGGATCATGTCTGGGCCATGCCCTGCTTCTGGGACCGAGGACTACACTGGGTACATCTGAGGAGGAGGCTGAGGTCAGGCTTTAGGACAAGGGGCTGGCACAGAAGAAAATGGGGAAGGAAGAAACTAAAATGCAGATGTGAGACGACAGGTTGGGGAGAGCGACGCACGGGCAGCACGTGGACATGCACGGGGTCTCCCGCCCAGTGAGAAAAGCACGGGGGTCTCCCGCCCAGTGAGAAAAGCACGGGGGTCTCCCGCCCAGTGAGAAAAGCACTGGGGTCTCCCGCCCAGTGAGAAAAGCACGGGGGTCTCCCGCCCAGTGAGGGGGGCGCATGATCTCCCATCCAGTGAGGAAAGCACGGGGGTCTCCCGCCCAGTGAGGGGGCGTGGGGCTTCTTGGGTGTGGGACACACCCATCACTGGCTCTACTTCTGGAACTGACAAATGTAAAAGAGGAAACACCATTGTGGGCAGGAAAGTGTTAAGGTCTTTGGTTAAATGGGAAACTCTTGAGACGTGTGGCGGGAAGGAAGGGAACAACCGCTCTACCACAGATGCACAGATGGGAGAGAGATGTGATTTCAGCCTTGTCTGCCATCCCTCATGTCTGCTGAGGGTGTGTGCACACAGCGATGTGTGTGGGGGTGTGTGTGTGCATGCAGCTGTGTATGGATGTGCACCGTGTGCGTGGGTGCGTAGGTGTGTGTGGGTGTGTGCAGTGGTGCAGGTGTGCATGGGTGTGTACAGGTGTGTGGGTGTGTAGATGTGTGTGGGGGTGTGCACCGTGTACAGCTGTGGAGGTGTGTGGGTGTGCGCAGTGTCTGTGGCTGTGTGGGTGTGCACCCTGTGGGTGGGTGTGTAGGTGTGTGTGTGGGGTGTATGCATGGGTGTGTGCAGGTGTTTGGGTGTGTGCAGTGGGTGTGGCTGTGTGCGTGTGTAGGTGTTTGTGGGTGTGGGGGTGTGTGCAATGTGTGGGTGTGTGCAGTGTCCATGGCTGTGTAGGTGTGCACTCTGTGCAGATGTGTGGGTGTGCACAGTGTGCGTGGCTGTGTCGGTGTGCACCACATACGTGGGTGTAGGTGTGGTTGTATGCATGGGTGTGTGCAGGTGAGTGTGTGCACCGTGTGTGGGTGTGTAGGTGTGTGTGGTTGTATGCATGGGTGTGTGCAGATGTGTGTGTGCACTGTGTGTGGGTGTGTGTGGTTGTATGCATGGGTGTGTGCAAGTGAGTGTGCAGTGTGTGTGGGTGTGTAGGTGTGTGTGGTTGTATGCATGGGTGTGTGCAGGTGAGTGTGCACAGTGTGTGTGGGTGTGTGTGGTTGTAGGCATGGGTGTGTGCAAGTGAGTGTGCAGTGTGTGGGTGTGTAGGTGTGTGTGGTTGTATGCATGGGTGTGTGCAGGTGTGTGCGTGTGCACAGTGTGTGTGGCTGAGTGTGTCGCCTCTGGCAGCTCGTGTGGTGTCGAATCCTGAGCTGCGGTTCAGCCTCTGGGTGCCTGGACTTTTTTTCTAAGATGACGGAGTTTGTGGTCAGGGACTGAGTGAAATATTTTCTATTCCACCCAAATTCCAGGGAGGAAACAGCTCTCCCGAGGGTCTTTTTTACTGTAGCGATGGTGTTTTGCTGTCGGGGCCTGTGGTCATCCTGGTCTCCGGGCGCTCACATCTACGGCTTGTTCCTTCCTTGTCTTCAGTTCCAAACGAGGCGACGTGACTTCCTCCGTTCAAAGGAGCTGCAGACGCCTCCTCTTGGCTTCATGGAAGAAAAGCATTCAGACTGGACAGCAGCATTGTGCCCAAATAATTTTTCTATCTTTGTGAAATTGAACTTCTAGGGGAAGTTCAGTCTCGGGGCAATGTTGGGCAGCGCAGTCATGGGTTGACAGTGACTTTCGCATGGTTCCCATTTCCTTATGCCTTGAAGTTCCAGGAGCTGAATTTATGTGCATGCTCCAAGACGGCTCCTGAACACAAACCCTAAGGAAGACGGGGAACTCCTCGGGACGCCCAGTCCAAGAAGGAAGCAGCTAGGAAGCTGACTCTGAATCTGGAGTGCAGAAAACGGAGCTTTGGGTCACCAAGTGATCTGGGCAACAGGGCAAGAGTGTGCACGTGTTATCATCTTGCCATTTATTTATTTATTTTATATTGAAGTTCTGGGATCCATGTGCAGGGCGGGCAGGTTTGCTCCATAGGTAAGCACGTGCCATGGTGGTTTGCCGCCCCCATCAACCCGTCACTGAGGAATTAGGCTCCGCATGCATTAGCTATTGATCCTGATGCTCTCCCTCTCCCTTCCCCACTGACAGGCCCCAGTGTGTGCTGTTCCCTTCCCAGTGTCCATGTGTTCTCATTGGTCAGCTCTCACTTACAAGCGAGAACAGGCGGTGTTTGGTTTTCTGTTCCTGCATTAGTTTGCTGAGGACCTCCAGCCCCATCCATGTCCTTGCAAAGGGCATGATCTCGTTCCTTTTTATGGCTGCATATTATTCCACAGCGTATTCGCACCACGTTTTCTTTATCCAGTCTATCACTGACGGGCATTTGGGTTGGTCCCAGGTCTTTGCTGTCATCTTACCATTTAAAAATAGAGTAGAACGGAACACCTGGCACGTCACGATCGTGATTGTGGCTTTCTCTTTCTCTGATGAGTCCCGAAGCACCTCACTTCACGAAGGGTCTTGGGACCACCCTGCACGCCTCAGTCATCAGTGTGCCAGGAAGGGCTCGTTCTGGCAAACAGGATACACACAACGCAGGCCTGGAGGCTTTGCTCTTTGCAATGTTTTTTCACTTTTGGCAAGAAGATATCCCCTTGAGATGATTTTGCCCAGACCCATCCTAAAACCAGTGTGTGTTCCGGGCAAACTCACCCGTCCAGAGGGGAAGAGGCTGCCTGAGAGGCAGGCAGACACGTGGGGAGGAAACTAATTCGAATTTAGATTTCCTGGGACTTATCCCAGAGTGGGCCTCGGTGTGGAGTCACCATCACACCTGCCTGAGGTGGCGCTCGCTGTCCATTCCTGGTTATGCGTGCCCCGTTCTCCCAGCCTCCATGGCCTCCTCTGTCCAGTTCGGAGCCACCTGAAGCTCCCGGGACTCAGGGCCAGCCAGAAGGCGGTACGTGCCTGCCTTCACAAGGCCACCTCTTTTGCTGCTAGGCAGCCAGGCCAGGAGGATGGTCAGTGCGGCAAGATGGACCCTTCCATGGATGGACCCTTCCATGGCATGAAACCTGGGAACTCCTTGGTACAGAGAGGCCAGACATACATCAACCTCACGTCCAGTTCTTGTTGAGACAAAGCTCACCCGAACTTTTTTGTTTTGACCGCTGTTGCTGCTGGAACAGCAGCTGTCCCCTGTGTCACTTCCTCTCTCGACAGCCTCACAATATGTGCCGAGTGCTGTGGTGAACAAGCAGAAGGAAAGACAGACGTGCCCACAGTCCCAGCTTCTCCCCGAGAGACACTGAGGAACCACACAGGGAAAAATCAGCACCCAGCCAGGCAGAAACCTCCAGACACACGCCTCAGTGGGTGCGGACGTGAGGCTCCCTTGTGAGGGACATTCCTGCCCCCCCCGCCCCGCCCGGACCACGGGGGACGTGGGACACACCTAGACAAGAGACGTTCCACAAAGACAGAGTAAGGCTGCTGGCGCTCTAGAAGACCTCACGGCCGCGAAGCGTCCCGGACAGCAGAGGAGCCGTGAGCCCCTCGCATGGCCGCCCCGGGCATGTCCTGCTCCAGGGGAAGTTCCCTGGTGGGGCACGGAGGGCGTCGGGCTGGGACTATCGGTCAGTCAGTGGTTTGTTTAGATGCTGACTTCCTGGGTTTGGTCACTGCACTGTGGTTACGTGAGGTGTTCATATTTGGGGACACTAGGTGGAGGGTTGGTGGATTATTTCTGAGTTTTTTTTTTCCTCTGGAGGCTGAGGCAGGAGAATCGCTTGAACCTGGGAGGCGGAGGTTACAGTGAGCTGAGATTTCACCACTGCACTCCAGCGTGGGTGACAGAGTGAGACTCCGTCTCAAAAAATAAAACAAACAAAAAAAACCAAAGCAACAACAACAAAAAACCGAAGAAAATATACTGTCCCAAGACTTACAAAGAACTTTCACAAAATCACGTGATGGTGCTACCAGTTGCACAGAGAGGGCAAAAAGAAACAGGGGAGTAGAGAGGCCAAAGGCACGCCAAGCCCAGCCTCAGGGCGAGAAGCCAGACACATATCAACCTCTCGTCCAGTTCTCGTTGAGCCAAAGCTCACCAGAATTTTTTTGTGTTGACCCCTGTTGCTGCAAACTGGGTCTCTTCAGCAAGTGTGAGCGATTCTGCGTGCTCCAGGATGCTGTGCCCTGGGTCCTTCACAAAGTGCAGGCCCCAGAGAGGCCGGGCAGCACTCAGCGAGCTCAGAACATCCTCCGGAGGGTTCTGGGATTTATCGTCAACCTGTTTCTACAAAAATACAGCATTCTCCCCCCACCCCCAAATCTAGTGAATGGAAAGAGCCAGTGAATCGAGTTCCTACGACTTGAGATGTGGCTGCATCTGGAGGTGTTGCAGGAATCGTCAGTGGACCTCTGGGGGCCCAGACGTGCCCCTACCCATGCAGGACCGGTGTGGACGAGGCCGGCCAGAGCAGAGCAATGGGTGTGTGGCTCACATTAAACCAGGCCCTCCCC